TTTTTTTTTTTTTTCTATTCAGCATCAATTTTTGCACCACTTTCTCGCTACCAAGCATTTTACAGCCGCTAAAGCGCAATTCCTTCCTTACTTGTCTAACCGTTCCACATTAAAAGGGAAATTTCTACTTACCTCTTTCTTTCACTGCTTATATTGATTTACACCAAATATAAAACAAAAATATGACCAATGCATATGTTAAAAGTGAAAAAAAAAAAGCGCTTGAAACCAAAAGTCACCGAAAAGTCGACCAAATTTGCAACCATAAAAAGAACAAAGAAAAAAAAACCATAAAAAACTGTCAAGAACATTGTAGGAATGCAAGAAAGCAGCAAACGAAGAAATACAACCAACACCCATACACCACATTTGCTGAGTAATACATTGTCACCAGCTATCGTCATCTTTTCACGACAATTTATTGTTGCAACTCAACTCTTTCCTTTCCCGCTCAATAGAACGTGCAATGGTGTTCAGAACCTTTGGCAACTCTCCAATTCGCCATATTATTCATTATATTACCGCATCTTATATCAGTAGTCTGCACTGTAAAATTTTTACAGATATGTTGTTATATGTAAACTTAAAATGGTCGTTTAATTAGTGGAGAGATCGTTGTGCGGAACGATGAACTAATTTTGTGCATCCGAAATGGTTCAATGATATTTTAGTTTAAAATTTACAGTGATATCAGTTCAAACAATAGTGCAGAAATAAGATTATGAAAAACTTTGGTCTTGCAACTTTTCATCGTTGTAACCGAGAATGTTAATAAATGTTTCCAAGCTTATATTAAAAAAAGAAATTGTTAGCAACATTATTTGCTGTATCGTTTATTTATTCCCCTAACTTTTGTCACAGTTTTGCTGTAGCTTCCGTTTAAGACATCAATTTTATCCCTTTTCAAGGATTCATCACGTCGCTTAGACATTGGCTTCTAAATTTTTGTCGTAGAATGACGACACGTAATATGCAATCTCGTCTGATCTGGATTGACTGTGAAATGACCGGTCTTGACGTTAACCATGCAACGTTAGTGGAAATTGCTTGTATAATTACAGATGGAGACCTTCAAGTAACTATTTCGACACTTAATGCCATAGTTTGTTTATATGACGTGAAAGTAACATGAATTTTTGTATTGCATTATTTTACTATTTGCATTGAAATGTTTATTTTAGGCAAATTTTGTAGATTGTTGCAGAGGGACCCGATTTGGTCATTAATCAACCTGGTTATGTTCTTGATAGGATGAATCAGTGGTGTAAAAACACTTTTGATAAAAATGGACTCTTGAACGCAATAAAGTCAAGTAGAATTTCAATGGAGTCGGCCGAAAAAAAGGTATGCTTGCCTGTTTTGTTTACCATGCCATTTCACTTAAATTTTTTTGACTATTGACAAGTAATTAGTCTCAGAGAGCATCACTGGAATTAATTTATATCATTTGGGTCCAGATGTTGGCATTTGTGGAGCAGCATACGAATGCTGGAGAGTGTCCCCTGGCTGGTAACTCAGTTTCGGTTGATCGTCAGTTCATAAAGAAGTATATGCCTAAACTTGCTCGGCATTTACATTATCGGACTGTCGACGTTAGCTCTGTTAAAGAAGTTGGTTATTTTTAACTTCCAGTCAGTTTGGTTTTTCCGTCCTGTCTTGGAAGCCGCACATTATAACATTTCCTTTGTTCTGGAACTTACGAATCCATATAGTTAACGAAGGGTTGATGGGTAGGAATTACCAGTCATTAAAAAAATCTTGTTTACCAACCACTAGAAGCGCAGAGCCATTTGGTCCTAAAGAAGCCATTCAACTAATTTTTTACTTTTACTTACTTTACCAATATCTTAAAAAGTAGATTTTGATTCCATGGATTATGGTAAAATTTACTGTTAATTACATTTTCTTTCGGATGGTAGCAATAGTGTTTCGGGCACAGTTTTTCGGAGAGGTAACACTGGTTGGGGAAGCACTTCAGTAGTCCGTAGATCAGAGTCGGATAGCTTTTGAAAAACAGGTTGCTACATTTAGCAGCTACTAATTTTCTGACCGGCCTATTTATTTTACACTCATTAATAACTGTTGCATTATAGATCGCTAAAAGATGGTACCCAGAAAAGTTCGCGTCGATGCCGCAAAAGAAGGAGGCTCACCTAGCCTTAAGCGATATTAAAGAAAGCATAGAAGAACTGAAATGGTATAGAGCCAACATCTTTGTTTGATCGGATGATCTGCTACAGACAACTACAGTGGAGTACGATTAACAAAGACGTTGCGGATTCAACAAATTTTCATGTCAATTTCATACAGGACAACAACCACCTGTGAACTCTATTGATTTACCAGTTGTAGGCTGGGAGTACCCACCAAGGAGCAACTAATGGGAACTTGTAGTAAGATATTATTTTTAAGTCCGAAGGTGGTGATTTTGTTTTAGAGTGACCAAAGAGTGGCAAGTTATACTTGCTTGTTAATCTTCATATCATTTGTTTAGCACCATTGATAGAGTGCTGCACATAGTAATGCTACTGGATTATATATACGACGGGGAAATTGTTGTAACAGCGCATGGAATCATCAGATGTTTTCTTTGTTGTTGAAACCCGCTTGATCAGAAACCAAACAGATTTATGAGCATTTATTGACAGGACCCTCATACTTATTGAGGGTTGAGGGCACAGTGTAGTGTGGAAATCTTATATCACAAGTTACGCACAAAGACGAGAGAACTAGAAAATACAGCAAAAAGAATCTAAAAGGGTTGGGAGGGAAACACAGTATGATTAGACCTGCAGTTAGATATGAGAGAAAGGCAACATCACAGTCAGAAGTGTATTTAAACATGTAACAACTTGTTAAATGTTACATCTGGAACTCACAACAACTAGTTAGTAAAAATCAGTTACGAAAACTGGTGTAACAAGGACTCGTCAAAGCCTGATAATATTTACACAAAACGCTCGATGAGCCTTATTAGTGAAGCATTTGAGCGGGCTGATTTGATTTCTTCCCCAAATGCATCCTGAGCAGCTAAAAGTAAAGAGTGGTATCGAAGAGTTTCCAGGTACTATCAGTTTACTGCAGTGAGAAATTTGGTCAGAAACTAAAAGAGTTTCACCTGGTATGACAGCCAAGTGGTCTTGGAGTTGATTGCTGAAAGCTCGATGGACAGCAGCGACGAAAAAATAACGTTCCAGAGGAGGCAGAGCTTGCATTGCGTAAGTGATATATTTACCCAAGTACCTTGGTCCGTTTAGTCCCCACCGATATAAAAGCTGAAATTTAGGTCTTTGTAGGAAGCAACAGGTATATTGATTGAAAAAGGATGTAAAAATGAGTTGGATTTATTTTGCAGCTTAAGCAATTGCTTTTCAAAATTGCTCATGATCAAGATTAATAACGGAGGAGTCGCGGGGAGCTTACAAAGTAAAGAAATTTTTTGTGATTCCTCCATAAACTGGAAGGAGTATATTTTCTAAAGGAATTAAAAGTGTCATCTTGAGGCTATGTTCATTGAGAAAATAACTGTTACTTTCCAACAAGGAAGGTTTGAAGCTAATAAAACATGGACAAAGTTATGTCTGAAAGTTGTTGCTGGAGACAGTTAATAGTGGACTTGACATCTACCGTTTTCATCGTGTTGAAGAGTTGCCCAGCTTCATTGACGAACCCATTCATGACTCGAGGAACAAACGTTAGAGGAATAAGACAAGGACGGTGTAGAATAAGGCCAGCGAAGTTATCGAAAGACCACGGTTCTGGAGAAGCTGAAAAGAGAAATGAGCAAGATGTCGATGTATTCAGCCGATGCAAAGAAATATCTATTAACAAACTAAAATCTAGATGGGGTACGGGTGTGTGAAACTCCTGTATATTACTTTTTAGTGGCTAAGAATGAGAGTTTGCCAACCAGTACTACAGAAGTTTAAGTGAGGGAGCTAGTATGACATACTCGTAAGCTCCTCAATAACATTAAACATTTCAGTTTCATTCCATGTTAATTCAGCCAGGTTTTCCGGGAGGTATTTGGAACTTGCCAGAAAATATAAGGCATCAGATAACGGTCTCAAATATTCCATACTTTCAGCATAAGTGGTGACTGCACTGTCTACCAGGATTCTCCAGTCAATGGATTCTAAAATAAGCACTATAAAATACTGTTTTACTTGTTACAGTGTCATCAGTGGTTACAAAGCTCGTGAACAGTAAACTTTACCCGCTTAGCAGCTTAGCACTTGAATTCTAGGTGAAGACTAAGTTGCAAGAGATGCAAAGCAGGACTGAAACGGAGCAGTTATTACAATTAAGAAATTGAACCTTCTTCTGTGCCAGGACTTGACACCGGTCCATAAAGCAAGAAAAGTAATCTAGCGCGGCTAGAAGCGGTCTTCTGTGTTCGCGTTACCGCTGACATCCAAAAAGCTACCTCATTAACGTTGGAATGACGGCAAGTTTCTAAGAAAAATCCACGGATCAATCTTCTGACCTGGCGAGGAACAAGTTTGTTAGAGACCAACATTTCACTAATTTCACCATACAGTCGCAAACTGAGTGACAATTAGTAAATTTATTGCTGTGGAGCCCATATCAATTTTATTCATTTAAAGTAAGGTCAGTGGCCGTTTTGATTATACTTTTTTTTTTTCTTAAATTATACTTGTTCTTTTAGTAATAGTTACGGCCAGAAATAATCGTAATTCATTTCGTCGCCTAATTCCTAGAGGCAGTAATACGCTATCTTGAGGTATACTATAATCTGGATATTTCTATGAGAAGTGGAAGTTTTTTTAAAGGCGATTTCGATGTGTAAATTGATAAAGTTACTCTTCGAAGCAACCGCTTACCTTAATCTCGCAGTTTGGGAAGGCACCAGGAATGCCTCCCAGAACTAAAGTCAACAAATGCCACAAGGAATTAGCATCCATTGAAAAAATGCTATCCATAAATCCCAAACGTTCTTTACCGTTCAATTTTTCATATATCTAAAGTGTTGGCTAAGCGAACTATTCAAAACAACATGTCTTTCAAGAATCTCCTCCACAGAATCAGTTTAAGAGCAAATGAGTTTGAAGGAAAAAAAACTAACAGCGTAAAATAGACTGCCCCATCCTTTCGCACAATGTTCAACGGTAATGTTCTAAAATCAAAAATAATGCAAAAAAAACGTGTTGCCCGGATTCAGAATTTGAAACAACCATTTTTTGAAAATTGTATAGATAATGGCTTATCTCATTGCGACTTTGATTAAGGTTTCCGCAGAAGAAAGACGAAGAAAAATTTTTTACTTTTTATGCAACGGAAACGGCCTTGCAGCTTTTAAAAAGCATTTCTTGTCACCCACGTACCTACAGAGAGAGAGTAGATGGAGAGACATTTTACTGAAAAAATCTTTGAAAATACCTTCACGTAAAACTTCGACAGTATGTATAGGCGAGTTGACAAAGGGAGGTATTCGGTAGCAGCATTAATCAGGAGACCTAAAAAATCGTCATAAGCAAGTTAACGCGTCTTGATAACTTCCCACAAACATGGAGCAGGCAAAACGTTATGTAGTTCTTTTTATTATGAATAAGCTAAGTAAAAATTACTTGAGCGGAAATCCTGCCGCCAGTTTTTAGACAGCTTTTATATAAAAATACAATTCATTTGAAAGTTTCCGAATATAGCAGTAAGACGAACCCCAGTCAGAAAAGTGACTATATTTTTTTTTATTTTGGCAATTGCAGTTCAGAGCTTCGCTGGTGAAACGATTCTGTGCTAACGAAGAGACTAGATAGGACCTCACTGTTTGTTTAAATCCTCTAGAACACTTGCAAAGCACGCAAAGAGAACTTACTAAAATCTGGAGCGTAAAACGTAATAATCATTCATGAATGCAAAGCGGAAGAAAAATTTTAAAAAAATGGTTAGACACCTAATAAATCTTCTCAAGCGGTAATAAATTCTTGCTCAGTAATCTAAGAAATTAAGATCTGCACTGTAACTACGGATAGCAAAGGAAACTTGTAAAGCTACGAGAAATTATAACATAATAAAAAACAGTTTCCACTCACAAGGCGTAAAATTTAAAATGTTCTGCAACAGTTCTGGGGGAAGGTAAGCAAAATTACCCAAGGGCGAAAAGTAAACTAGTCCGCAGTCCTCTGAAAATGTACTGTTATAATGATTGTGAACAGTTGACAAATGAGTGGTTTTACGGTTACAAGCTTAACCTATCTTATTTCAAATATCCATATACCTCCAACAGTCAGACGACGAGAAAAGAGAAAATCAAAGTTTTAAACGTCAGAAAAGAAACATCTTTTTATACCTTGATTTAAAAATTCGAGACTGTGCAATTTAACTACACTTTCACTTCTCTGACAGTGCCTCTTCAAATTCGCTTTTAAGTTGTCCATATCGTAACCACTATCGTTCTTCCTTTTACGCACATTGAAGTATCTTGTTAGCTGATAATTGTTAAGTTTCACATCTACCTGAGCGACAAATGCACAAAAAATTTCAATTGAAAAGATCATCAATGGACCGCTGCATTAAGTTATTTAGTAGGCCAGGCTCAACAAAAATGCATTTCAAAATTTTCTCAGATAAGAAGTCCCTTTTTAAAATTTTATGACAGACCATTTACTACCAATATAGAATTATAGTACTGTTGTAAAAAGAATAGGAACTGAATTAGCTTGAAACATTTATTTGTTTACTTCTTGGTTAATTTGACTCCTTAGGTTGTACGGAGAAGTTCTTTTAGTTTCAGGATGCAAATCCCGGTTAAGACTCATCTTTAAAGCACTTAGAGACGAAAGTCGGGAGATGTTTTCAATCAATTTCAAAGGACTTTACTGAAAAATACGCTTGTTGACGGTAGTGGCAATTACGTAATCCAAATACTGCAAGATTACAATGACTGCTTCAAAAGAATGAACGGTAACTGGTAAAAATAGTCGAGCCGTTATTTCAATGAAGGTATAGCTCTGGAAAGCAAAACATTTGAATTGGTTCTGGAAACTGTCACGGAACTGCCTTAGTGAACGGTATGAAAAAAATCACTAGAGACTATTTTAGTCATAGAGCTAGAAGGTGATTACAATAATTTAAACATTAAACTCAAAAACACGTAAAACATTGATGAGAAGTAATTTTGGTTAACGGACACGGGGCGGCAGAAGAATTTGAAGCTGCAGAATGGCAAAAAATTCAAACGTCAAACAACGTGCTGTAATTATGTATCACTTAAACAGAACTTTTTTACCAGCCATTTTGTTCAACTTCTAAAGACTAACCGTATTTTACTGCTCACTCCACTATATCATAAAAGACGTAAAAGCTGTTAAATTTTCTTTAAGTACGTAACATTCGAGCACATATATTTACTGCGAATAAACACAAGAAAATACTTTGCTTAAATTTTTTTACAAAGCTTCCCAGGCTTGTGCTGTACAATTGAAAAAGTTGACAAAAAAACTTTTTAATCGGCGACAACCGCAAGATTTATCAGTGGGTACTAAAATAACGATGAGGTTTGGCATTAAAAAGTGCTAAGATCAACGTATTGCCTGGGGCAAGTCAGTTAGTAGTTAAGAGGTGTACTGTAAAGTACCGTACGAAATGCATAAATCCGCAAAACTGTTTTAAAAAACGTATTGTAATCAATGGTTTTTGAGAGGAAAAAAATTGGTAATTACTACAGAGAAACTGCAAAGTTCCGTGAGTAGCTAACGTTCTAGATGACTTTGATGAATTTCCGATTTACGATCAAACCTGCTGGGTTCTACGTCTCTTCAGCAGTAAGTATTAGCATATTTTATTTTGCAAACATTCATTAAATTATTCGGATATATACATACCGTGCAGCAGGTGCTGATTCTAACTGATGATGGGAGTAATACGCCACAAATATTACTGACTCAATAAGAAATTTAGATATTTTAATTCTGCCAAAATTTTTCCAGGTTTCACTCAAGCACCTATCCAGCTATTGATTCTGGAACAGCTGTTGTTAATATTGTTCTTAGAATTCTGTGTTCACATCAAGTTTTCTGTTTTTGCTTGAGTTATGCCTTTCTAGTACTGTAAATGAATCTGATCTAAGTTAAATAGAGCTTTTTTCATAATATCAAACCAGCCTAAAGTGGCTACGGTTTGCCTACAAATGTCTGATCATTGCTGAAAATGACGTGGGAAGGGACAAGAGGCAGCTTTCACTTGACTTCTGTGAGATCTGGGAACTAGAAGAACTTCTCTTATATAGAGCGTATAAATTTTTCTGTCTCAGAAGAAATTTTCCTGGCCTAGGTCTTTTTCAACTTTTCACTACTTCGCAGCAACATTAAAATCATAGAATATCTATGCTTTTTTTAAGTACTTTCTTGAAGCATTGTTTTCTAGATCGTTTTGATCGGGTTAGGAAGTTTCATCATTTAACAGCAAACTTTCATTTTTAAATATAGAAATGAATTTGTAATACTTTACGGTCAAGGTGTGGAATATTATAAGAGGACTTGTGGTTTCAATCAATGTCGATTAGGGCAGCGAGGATAAATAAGATGCAATATTTTTAGTATACAGCTGTGTGTAACGCAGTTGGGATTGATGGAATTACCAGCCAAGTTGAATTCTGACTTTTGAATCTTGAATTTTTTTAAGGAGAAAGTCCAAAGTAAAATTTCACCAAAAACTGCAGAAACAGAAAGTTTGAAAATGTTTTACGTTTTAGAAATGTCAAAAAATGAGCAACTTTGTATCTTCTTGTATATTTAGTACACCCGGAATTTCTCAAAATTTGTAAAAGGTTTTTCACGTGGAAATTCTCATTTTAGACCAAGTAATTATCTTCTTCAAAATTTGTTGAGATCATTACTTTAAGAGTGTACTGCACAAACTGCTTTTCATTCTTCTTTAATTTGCTTGTTGTGGAAATTTTAAAGGGTTTATGTCATGTTTCCGTACGCATTTGAGACAGAAGTTTCGGCTTGAAAATTCTGTACAACCTCTGATAAAAAGCAATTTTTTTTCCCAAAACTATTAGACTGAAATCTTTGTCTGTAATCATTTCATGCAATTTTTTCCAAGTGCCAGAGTTGTTTTAGTGCTCAGTTTCAATGAACTTGCGATATTTCAATTTTATACGATGCTAGGAAATATAAAATGCTTGTTTCAAAAACAGTTTCATTTCTAGTAGTTTTATAGCTGTGTTTTTCTTTTGTTGGTTGGGTAATATATACTGATGTATAACACTTGTTGCCTTTTTTTTTCAGAACTTTAAAGCTTAGCAATGACATTCTCAAGAATTTTTGGTAATTTAGGTAGGTCATGTATATAATAAATAGCTAAGAATGCTGGGTAATAGAACTCAAAATAAGAGGGAAGTTTTTTAAAATATGATCCACGCGGCACTTGATAAGTGAAAGTTGATATGTTGAAATATTGTTAGTTCAGTTTCTAAAAAGTGAAAAAACCTCTTAG